ACACCTCGAAAGCAGCCACACCTCCAACGCCATCTGGGTCAACCCAATAGACGCCGCTAGTGGCGTTGAACCGTGTCAGATACGTGCAAGATTTAGGCAAGGCTGGTAAAATGGAAGATAAAAGTTTAAATTTTAATTTTTATACGAAATATTTCAGTACAGTGGGTATGTGAACGAGCCATAAATGCGATTCCTATTCGGTAATTCAGTCACAAAGGTTCTTAGTGACGTTCTTTGTGTACCATTTAATCTCATTAAAATCCCAAAATTAAAATGTTCATTGATTGTTAGAGTGATAACGTGTACTTTTGGGTGATTTTCCATATATCGCCTCTTCTCAAAAATTAACGTTTAGAACACCCTTTAAACAGAGTGATGTATTCTTACATAAATGAATTTTTACAGGTGATGTGCGAATGTCGATAGAAAAAAACTTATTACCTCGCTCTGTGTTTAAAAGTTTCCAGTCCTTGTCTACCACTGGCAAAGTAAAAGCGTCTTCGTATGTCGTTTTATCGTTTATTTCACAAGTCCTGTTTGCTGGACTGTAGTTTACTGATATACAGTTGTCGGGCGCAAGAGAGAGACATCTCACAGCACACTCTAACTGAGAGCAAACGTTGTATGTCAAACGCTGCCTGCCATTGTAAACTCCATTGACCAGCCGAAAACCCTTCTGGATGTGCAGAAGCTCGTAGCGATTTGCACCAATGGGTATTAAATGGAAGACAGCAACCACATCTAATACCAGTAAGCGGAAATACTGGTTAAAATACATACTTTGTTCGGGATATTGCAAGTCAGAATTTACCTCTATTTGCTTTACCGCAACACAAAGTTGTATATGTCAGAACTTTTGCAGAATTGCTTTATATTTCAGTTATAATCAATTAATCAACGTCAGTATCTTGATACAAATTCGACTTTTCTATTCCGTGATTCTTTTTTTTGTTTTCAGTTTGTCATCTGTGAATAAAAACACTTTTAGTTTATTGACAAAGGCATAATGTCTTTGCTCTTGAAAATCCAAAAGGAAATTATCTCCAAGGTAACTGCCGAGTAAAATCAATATTGAAGTATTTCTCTCAGAGTATGTTGAGTCGCAGCTTTTATCATTTGAATATGGTGTAATACAGGGGCTACTCAAGAGCAATGGATTATTTTCGCTTTTAACACTTAACATCTTCAGTTTTATAATAGAATATATTTACGCTTTGTTGCTGTTATTATGTTAGATGTCACCCTATAGGGACATGCAAATATACACCTGCTAACAAAGGATTCGCTTTTTTAAACATTCAAATGGTGTAAATATTCATCATGCAATGTGTAGAACAGTTTCATTAGCTATGTTATTGTAATAGACTTGTGAAGATTCTTTTTGTCTATAGCTATTTATATTAGTTTGATCTTACCATCCAATATTTCATATAAATAGCTATAGACAAAAGAATCTTCACAAGTCATCATGCAATATTTTTACAGGACAATGTTGATGAAGTGAACAATTGATCTGGTGTAAAATGACCTGTATTGGCTGTTACCTGTAAGTCATCAGGTAAATTCACGTGGGCTGATGTCACAGAGTGCAACCATTTGTTTGTGGACAATCGGTACCTCAGTACCAGGTAACATCAAGAGCTACATTGAAAAAAACATCATATAATGTATATAAACAATGTGAAACACACACACACACACGCACACGCACACACACACGCACACACACACGTACACACACACATGATATAGAAATCATTTCCATTTCAAAGGTGTTACTCCACTGAAATATGGTGATATATTTTCAAACTATAATTTTCATTATTAGAGAAAATTGAAAGCCATAGTTAAGATACATTTTATGTATAGTTACCATGTTTGTACGCTCAATAAATAAACTTAAATAATTAAACAAATGAATAAATTCATAATTCAATTATTTTACAGCTTTAAAATACCGCGAAGGAGAGGTAAATGATGTAATAAGTTTAACATTCCAACAATTTTTACAAAAGTTTATTTAAAACTAGCCCTTATCTTTAAATGGTCCATATTGTGCACGTTTGATTATTTGGAGCGTTAGTAATGGCTACTCCTACATACGTTTGCATTTTATAGTGTTGAGAACAATTGGAGCCTCAAAATAATATATTGTCAAAAAAGCTTAGTCCGGACCTTTAAACATAGCTCGGTGGACTGGTAAACTGTGATTTGCAGATCTTTGTGTTATTGATATTATCTCAAATACTACTCGAACAGTATACATACATTCATTTAAGTGCACTTGAACAAGCTAAATATAAATAAAATCAATTATCTTTGTACAGCTCATGTTTTAGACTAATGGCGTTTTGTTTGTTCCCATCTTTTTTACTAAATATATAACTATTTGATTATTTCAGTGTAAATTCCGGTTGAGAAAAAAAAAAGGTGCCGGAAACGGTATCTTATGCACACAAGACGGGAACAAGGGCGCAGTGGAAAACATTTAAACAGGTTTTCGTTCTCCATGTTCCTCCGCATGTTCTTTACATACTAGTAATGTCGGGTTGTATTTATATTCGTAAATTCAAAATCTTTGTCATATAACACTAAGCTGGAAAATTGTTTTGTAGAGTTACTGAATTTGGTCGTTTTAGTGTCTTTCGAAATCGAACCGTAGAATTGATTTCGATGATGAAACGACTGGTGGATAAAACACTAGCAGTTGGCTCCACTTCTGCATTTTGAAAGTCTCGCTTCCTTATATTGTAAAAGATTTTTACATCTTATTAAAGCAAGTCGGTTTTATTTTCCTCGCGCTGGAATTGCAGCGGTGAGCAGGACACGAGGGCACGCTGTGATTAGCGTTTCAGTGGAAGTCATACGCTGATGGTACTGTCTGACGTCACAGTTTTACATCCTTCTCATAGTTATACTTGTAGTATCACAGATGTACCATCTTATTTATGTTCTTCTTAGAATTATAATTGTAGTATTACAAATGAAAATGTACCACTCAGATGTAAATTATAATTTTTATTATTTTGCAGAAAAATTTGGCATACAATACAGTACCATAGAAGCAACTTGCTTTTAAAGGTGTTTATAAGTTACTAATGGAATGGCTTCCGTAAGTTTTTCGTATCCTTCAAACAATCAAATTATCAATCAATGAAAAAAACTTCACAGAGAATAAAAATCGTCGGGGAACGTAAAAGAAAGGTATAAAATGAGACCAAATAAATATATCTACGGAAATTGAAGACATTGACCCATTTAGAAAAACTCAATATATACACAAGGATTGTAAATATTCGGTAAGATATTAAATGCGTCCTTTGAACTTAACTGAAACGTATATTTCTTTGAGAATAAGTCTTCATTAAGTGGATGGCTGGGCAGTGAAACGCACTTTTTAATGAAACAGGCGGCACGTCACTGCGAACATGAGGTTGAGGTCGTGCATTCTCTTTATGATATTCGTCAGTTTTGGTGAATTTCTCTCCATTCAAGGAGACTGGTACCGTTCTGAAGGTTTTCACGCCACGGATGAGTTTCGACTGGTTAATGGCGTCTTCAATGACGCTCAGCGTTTGTCTTACACGGTGGCCTCTAAGATAGAGTGCTCTGTGAGGTGCCTCTCTCTGGGTCCTGGGAGGTGCACATCTGTCAACTACAACAAAGAAAACAGAACGTGTGAAATAAATGACAAAACAATCCACGATGACGCTGGGACAGTACCTACTGCATACGATGGCTGGGAGTTCTACAACACCGCACGAGGTAAGGTTCCAATTTTTTCCCTTGATATCACCTCAACTTACTTATTGTTATCTTAGTAAAGCTTTAAACCCAGTAAATGTACAATAGGTTTTACAATATGAAATTAAAATAAACGACAAGGAAAAAGAAAAATAATTGATTAAAATTACGTAGAATATTGAAACTCAGTCAGTTCATTAAATCCATTACAAATCCACTAAAACATTCTAGAGCCATGGCATTTCTTTAAATATGTCTCTGTAAGTTCTTTTTTAAACACTTGTTTTGTAATAGACGTGAATTCTGTTTTTTTTTTTTTTTTTTTTTTTTTTACATTACTTTACCATAAGGGTTCCAAGTTCCAAGTACAAGTCCACAAACAATTACTAGTACATATACTTTAAGAGGACGGTAGATTTAGGAATATATTTAGATAATTTTTCTTCAATAGCAAACCATATATGCATGTCACCTCAAAAGCTTTTTATAGCAAATATGACTTCGATTTAGCATTAAATTGTTCGTTTTAGGCCCCCCGAATGCTCCGTCGATTATAAGCGTCAGTACAACACAACCAACCGCCAGACAGATCACCTGGGTAGCAGGTGACGACGGTGAATTCGACCAAACCTTTACCCTTGCTATCAAGTCCCAGGGTGCTGACGACAGCACATACGTCACAATACTCTCCATGGCCGATCCTGGACACCGAGGCATTGTGACGTCACATGTGACGGGTTTGAGCATGGGAAATACATATACGCTGAAGCTGACGTCAACAAATACGAGACCAGTTGGAATAAATTCCGCCTCGGTGACTGTTGATATCACAGGTGAATGTGAGAGTGTTACATGACTTTTATCGAAAATCTTAAACTTGAAATAAATACTTATATGTCGGAAGATCTCTTTTTGAACTGGGTTGTCAAATGGTAAATATCTAAATATCTAGTGGGTCAGATGGTTTAAAATATCCTTCACCTTATTACAAATACAGCATTGATATTTTACTGAAATATTCCAAACTTTTTTTAGCAAAACAGTCATATTTTAAAAACGATGAAAGTGGATTATTATTTTGTTTTCATTTCATTAGCTTCATTGCCAAGTTCATGCACAGAATGGAAACAGTTTAACACCACTAGCGGACTCTATTGGGTTGACCCAGATGGCGGTGGAGGCATGGCCGCTTTTGAGGTGTATTGTGACATGTCATCCACCCCACCCATGGCTTATTTCCACCATGACCAGGAAGTCAGGACACGGGTCGATGGATTTGAAAACGCGATGTCGTACTCAGTTAGCTTGACTTACACCGGTGAGTTCAGGCCTCGAGACAAGTGTCTTAAAAAGAATGCCCAATTATATGTAGGCCTAAGTCAGGCCTACCCAACTACCAGACTCGGCACATAAGGATCCTGAATTAACCGGTATATCGGGCAAAACCACTCGTTTTCAAGGTGTGTGTCAGATCGCATTCGGAGTATCGGTCAGAACACCGACAGGATGAGCCCGCGGTCGTCCTACAAAAATTGTTCTGGGGTATGATAATCCGAAATGCGATCTGACCGGTTAATTCAGGATCCTTATGTGCCGAGTCTGGTAGTTGGGTAGGCCTGTAAGTGCTGCTTTCGACATTGCGTGATGGGAAATTGGTCGTTTTTACCTGATCCCCCAAAACGTGCGCTGAATGTATTTGTCATATGGGTCATTGATATCTGAAATCTCAGGACTATTTCATGCCTGCTTCTGTGTTTTTTATGTTTTAGATAAACCAAATTATTAAGGGAACATGGATTTTTTGGGACATTAAGGGATTGTAATCGTGATCACCTAGTGGTCCGAATGTCAACGTTGAACCATTACTAGAACATAATTTACTTTTCCTGTTTCAGTCAGTATAAGCAATGTTGTCGCATATGTGGATAATGTTGGTGTGAGTTGCTCTCAGTACCTGAAATATGAATGCCGTGATTCGACCCTTCGACAATATGGCGGATGGTATGACCGCGATGGAAATATCGCGACATTCTGGGCTGGCGGAACACCAGGTGGTGCTTCATATAACTGTGCATGTTCAAGAGATGGATCCTGTGCAGACCCTTCAGATCGTAAGTGGGTCAACTGTTGAGAACTAGACTCTGAACTATATAGCTAGTGGTTGATTAACCTTACAGACCGCGGTATGGTCATGTAGATATATACGCAATTTTCCTATAAATTACATGGTGGAAGTACACTTATGTAACACTAGTGCAGCTTACTCCGTATGTATATATAGTTTGGCCGTTTTTTTCAGTAGCCTAATCATTTTCGTAGTCCATGTCGTAAACATACATGTAGAACCATGAATCATGTTTTTCAGATTGCAATTGTGACGCAAATGACAACGTTTGGAGATCGGACGAAGGATATATCACACAGTCAAGTTACCTGCCGATAACTATTGTAAAATTTGGAGATACCGGCGACTCTGACGAAGAAGGCTATCACACAGTAGGACCACTGGTCTGCCAAGGATAAATATTTAAAAGAACAACCTTCGTGATATTGGTATATAAAAACATATTAAGTATTTTTAATTATATCTGTGGCTGAGATGAGAGCACTTGGATATTATGGTAAACTACAGTAGCATAGACTTAAACCGACTGGTATTTGGGTTAAGAGCAAATATCAACTTTTTTAATCGTGGTGTTTTTGAAATTTGAGAAAAACTGCACCTTTTCTTATCGAACAAACTTTTATTTTAAAAAATCAGTATCTACAATGAAATAATATTGTACTCTTCGGTACAGCTGTTTTCCTAATGGCAACTTCCGGCGGATTGTCATTCCGTCTGGGAAAATCTTTTGAAATGAGCTTGCATTTCACATTTAACGATTACAAGAGAAAGGAGACAGACTGCATGACGCGGCCTACCGAATGTGTTATGGTTACAAATGGATTACATTAAAAGCCCGCTGCCCACGGCAGTCGTACCATGGGCCAAAACCACTCAGTATCGAGTTCTGACGTACGCATTTGATGTGTTGTGTACAGTCAGTGGCGACATTATCCACATAGGCTGAGATCAGCTCGATATTTACTGAAATAACAACTGCCTTTTTTACTTTTCACTCTAGGGCAGACCAACGACCTGTACAGAACGAATCAATTCAACCGATATTCGAAAGGACTCCGGCTTTTTAAACAGAAAAATAGAGCTTACTGTTGCCATTGTGCCATTACACCGGCTAAGATTAAGAAATAAAATAGATGGAAAATATAAAATATATAAACGAATTGATTAAATTTTATTTTATTAAGTTAGATAAAATTAAATTAAATTAAAGGGATAACAATCGTTCGTTTTGGCCAAAAAATGAATTTTCCTGGAGTAAACAACAATTTTCCCATACTTACCAGTTGTTAATGATTCCATTGCTACATTCAAAGTTAGTCTCTGTTTTTTTTCTAAAAAGCTTTTTTTTTCTTTTCTTTTTTTTTTTTTATTAAATCGTGTATATCTTATCATGGTTCAATGATTGATGTGACGGGTA